TTTTTTAGATTTAAAATTTTATAATTAGATATAAAAATAGATTTTGAGATAATCCTAATAACATTTTACATCAAAAGTATATACCATGATAAAATTTGAAGGGCACCGTACCTCTACACCTACGGAGGCATCCGTATGCCAACTGCACCCTTTTTAATATAGTTTATATACATACACGCTTCCATGCATACACACATAATGTGCATAAACAAACACACAGGAACACCTAACACTGTCTGCTGAATATTGTGTACCAAATGACAAGAAAGGATGGATGCTAAAAATATACCCCCAAGTTATAAGGTTAAATAGTAATTTATGTTTTATACCATTCACCATAATAAATTTGGTTGAAACATTTTTTTTTTTCTTTTTTCCTTCAAATATCTTCATGAAATTATCTCACTCCCTGCTTATTAAGGTGCATAATGAGAACTAGAATAACTAACTCTTATACTTTATTGGGCCCACGACCAGCCATTTCCAAGGGATAGCCTGGAAATGAACATTGCACACAAACACATGCATATAACTATAGTGCTGAAGGACAATACTAAGATTTCAGATTCTCAGTCTCTAGTGGTGAAATATTCTATACTTTTATCATGAGGACTAACCTGTTTTACATGCTCTGGTTTTGATATACCAAATCCCACAGCCACAGGTTTGCTTGTTGCCTGGAAAGAGTGCAAAAAATGATCTCTAAGCTTCTGAAGGAAGTTGGTATCAATTTCTCAATGTTTTCAGATCCATTTGGAAACCCGAAAGGAAAAATAATTAAGCAAGAAAACCAGTGCTAAAAACTCACCAAGTGACTTGGGACTTGCCCAAGTTGGGCCCGAGACCCTTGTGAGTCCAGTTGAAATACATGAGGATTCACCTGAGTCTTACACCAGGGCCCCTACTATGTTATTTAGCTATAGACTCAGTGGAGTCTCGTTGAGACTCGGCTGAGTCAAATTGACTGACTTGGTCTCAAGACCCTAGCGAGTCCCACCCAGAGTCTGGTTTTTAAACACTGAAGAAAACTTACCAAAAAATTAAAGCTCTTGAAAACAAATAAATGGACGTGTACTTCAGGGACTCTATACCTGCTGGATCTCATATAGAAGAGCCTCAACACGTGCGTTCACAGAGGCACGAGCACCAGTCACACCAACAGAGCTTACCTGCATTAAGAAGTCAGCAATTAGTAGTACGTAAGTATCCATATCCATATCCATTTAAAGTCAGAAAAAACGCTTTAGTTCCTCAGAAATAATTGAGAGAATAAAGCAATTGCTTAAGTTGAAATCTGCAATTTTCGCAATGGACTCAAAAGAAAGAATAGTTTTTCTGAGTGCAGGAGATCCACCAGAAGAAACCCTGATTACAATCAGCTGACAACTGAAAACAAAAGAAAACTAAAATCTCCCTCCCTCCCTTTGTTATCATTTTCCCCATTCTCAGTCCTCTCTCTCACTTTCTTTTTTCTTTTCAAAATTTCTAAAATTTCTTTTATAAATAACACATAAATTAATATAATCTGTACATTTGAATTTCTAAATTACAGACTCGCACCCGTCTTGCCCAAGTCCCAATCCTTGAAACAGGGGCTCGTAAAATCTAAGTCAGTGACAAATATGGTGGAGATCCTTCTACAGTATCTACAACCTAGGCAAAAAGATCACTATTCCAAATTTGCCTCGAGTTTTTCTTTTTCTTTTTCCTCTGCTTGGTAACAAATTTCATTGCTGTCATAAGACATTCATGTTTACATGTTTGAGAAAACATTACAGAGCAATGAGAAAAAAAATGGGTTACATAAGGTTAACAATAGGAATTCGTCTCTAATTTAGCGCAAGTAAAATTACCAGCAATCCAGTACGTTCATCTAGCCTTTCCAAACTAAAATTTCATTGAGTAGATCCAACTATCCAAGGCAAACTGTTTTCTTTTTATTGCTAATAAGCTCTTGGTTTTCAACAGTTAACCTGTTTGTGCAAATGTAGCCGCTATACAAGTTAAGTATCATAAACTTATAAAAAAAGTTCATTAACATAAAATTGAAATAAAAAAAACAACACTCTAGTTTAGTGCAATTAAAATTACCAGCAATCCAGTACGTTCACCTAGCCTCTCCAAACTAAAATTTCATTGAGTAGACCAACTATCCAAGGCAAACTGTTTTGTTTTTATTGCTAATAAGCTCTCGGATTTCAACAGTTAACCTATTTGTGCAAATGTAGCCACTATACAAGTTAACTGTCATAAACTTATCAAAAAAGTTCATTAACATAAAAATTGAAATAAAAAAAACAACTCTATCATCATAAAGGAAACAACCAAATCATCACAATCCACAATGAGAATTCCTGGAAGAACAGCACTCTTGGCATGGTGGTCTTGGTAGTGGAGCCACAACATGACGACAAGAGTCCCAATCTAACCCCACTAGGGAAAAAGAAAAAAAACTAGAATGGAACCGGTAAACAAAGGATCTAGTAAACAGAAACTCCTCAGAATATTTGAACAATATTTTTCATCTTTTACAGCCATAGAGGAAAAAGAAAGGGAAAATATCTCCATATCTCCCATTTTTAGGTTTCATTTCTTGATAAACACAGGGTTTCATAAAAATATCTTCTAACCCCCTGGCCACTTTAAACCTATTTTTTAACCTAAACAAATGTGAGAAAGACATACCCTTTCTAAACCCAATCCTTTCTCTCTTCATTTATCTACCCCAAACTTCTCTCTTTCTCTCTCTTCCTATGTCTCTCACTCTTTTTCTCCTCCCGTGTTTCTCCAAACACCTCTCTCTCCTCCAGGTAACCTCTCACCTCCATGAAGCCTTTATCTCTCTCTAGAAGTTTGGGAGATGGCTTTTAGAAAAGGCATGTCTTTTAAGATTTGTTTGGCTCAAAGAAAAGAGGTTTAAATTAGCTCCAGGGGTTAGAAGAAATAAAATCTACAAAATTTATGCCCCAAGATATCTTTTAAAACCTTGGGTCTATTGTGAAATGAAACTTAAAAATAGAGGGTATGGAGATATTTTCCCAAAAAATAATAACAAAATTCAAGACTACAAGCAAGAACTTACAAGGTATACAAACCCTTCTGAAGCCTCACAAATAGCTTTCATTCGATCTGTTGGAGTAGTGGGTGTTGTGAGCAGTACCTTCACCAGTGAAAAAGAGTGTGTATATTATTAAGGATGCCATACGAACTTGTGAAGGGTTAATCAACCATAATAACAACACAACGTAGAGCTAGCGGCAATTTTACAAGAAGAATACAATAGAAAGTTAGGTCAACAATTTGTTCCAATTCATTCTGAAGATAAAACCTCTATAAAATTTAATTATCTACCCACTCATTTTAAAGATGACTCGTCCAGCACTTAAATACTCTGTCCTTCATTCTTAAGAAACTAATGTTAGTAGGCTAGCATGGGCATTTATTTCCTGTATTTTACACATTGTACTTGTAGTGTATATAACAGGGCTTTATATATAAAATAATAATGTACAATAAACAACACATTAAACAAGACTGTATTGCATACTGGTCACTCCCCTGTTGTGTGTTCCTCCCCTTTTTGGAATAAGTTCAGTGCACAACAATGATATACCAATCTTGAAATGGATTTCAATTTGGATGATCTTCTAATACCAGTGCAATGGAAAATAAATTTATGAATGACCATATCTATATTCCAACATTTACACTCAATGAGTTAATACTATCTGGTTATAATTGAGTATATGCCCTCTGATTGATATGCAGTATTACCTCATATAATAAAACAAGTTACTGATGAAAAAAAAAAAAAAGGAACAGAAAGGCTGAGAAGGAAATGAAGAAAGGGACCCACCAGCTCAATTCCATGCTTAATAGATTCTTTTCTCAATGTCTCAGTTTCCTCAAGGGGAAGATCCGGCACCACAAGTCCTGCAGACAATTAATTAAAGCAAGTTCAAACTATTTATATAGATCAGGATAAGCTTCACAACAGCAACAATTTTTGCTTAGAATCAATGAAGAAATCTTTAAAGGGAACTTCGTAATAATGTCCACAATGGAGCCATTGTATACTCCACAGAGCATTAAAGCAAATATTTTCATTACATAAAATTCAACTAAGAACTTATTTGTTCTTGCTAATTTCAATAAACAAGAGTGACCCTAAGCATATCCAAGGTGTAGATGAAGATTAATTATCATGGAACTACGGCTGGAAATGGGTTGAGACTCTTGGTAGCAAACTACAAAGACGGATTTATTCTTGACGGTCACAAGTAAAATCTCAACACTCAAAATTCTATGATATTCCCGACCACAGTAATCGATAAAACAACAGATAAAAAAGCAAACCATGCCATAATTTTCTGCAGACTATGCTTTTTTCATTTCTTAAAATATAGCTTATTGAAATAATGATGATCCCACACAGCCAAAAAAAACACATAACGACAATCCCGCAAGATATATATCTTGAAGCAAGTAGATGATCAGTAGAGACCTCACAATTCACAAGAACATGCACAGAAAAACATGCACCCAGGCCATGTACACATCCAGATGCATGCACATACCCGAGTTCAAGTCAAACAAATACAAACAATAAGAGATGAGCCATTTAAAACCAATTGATATGTCCACCTTAAGAAAAAAGGAAGCATGCACAATCCTCAAAGTCAGTAATGTAGCAGCAAATCTTACCATGAACACCGGCATCCCTTATTGTAAGTATGAATTTCTCAATACCAAGTCTCAGTATTGGGTTGTAGTAGGAAAATAAAGCAATTGGACAAGATATACGAGGAACAACCTGCTCAACCAATCATTAGAATAACCATTATTATTCAAGTTCAACGCAAGTGTTGGAAGGATGCATCTCTTTTTGTAAAATACAAAATAAGAAGCATTAAATAATACAAGAACAATTACACACACAAGTTATCAAAAAATTTACTCCATTTGGAAATAACATGATACAACTCATGCAGTTACTTTTGTTTGCAATTTATGTCGCTTAATAGGCTTTCTGCTCTTTTTGAACAAACGTGTTTGTAATGCTTGTAAAGGTAGTAAAAGTTCATTCTAGATCAGCAAAAAAGTATAGGACACAAAGAGACATCAAACTTGTCCAGACTGGGATGAAGATTCTGGTACGTCGCCCATAATCACATTAGCCAATGGCAAAATCCAAATATCCCATCAGTTTCCAGTCTAAATCCTCAGTTAAAACAACAGAAAATTTCATCCAAGGTAGGCGACCAGCCCTCTACGTGGCTTTGATTGGGAACACACCATATTTGAAATTTCAAAAGGTAAACAGGATCCTGGGCATTGCCTTGGCACATGCTTATTATGTAAGATACATAGAAACAATTGGAGCGGGTCCCACTTGTACTGCTAATCCATGTCTTGGAATCTGGAAACTGCATTGGTGACTATAAGGACACACCCACTAGGGAAATCTATAATATCCTCCACATGGAAACCTTGCTGATTAATCAAGTGGTTCAAAGAGATAACAAGCCCATACAAGACAGATGGTCCATTGGCATGCTGCTTAAGTCCAATGGTTGGAATGTCCAGTAACTTTTGGTCCAAGTGGGGGATTCATGGTGAACTCCAAAAAATAGTCAGGGCTCTGCAAGACAGGACATACCTGAATCAGGGCTCATGCATGCCCATTGACTCTATAAATCTGAAATCCAACCAATCGTGGAAGGGTGAACATTATGTTCTTAATGACTTTCCTCCGTTCGGGAAAGGACCCATGGTCCTAATGCCTTTGAACATGGTAAAGGTAGTCACTTATAGCCAAGGTGACGATGACCATTTTACCTTAGTTGTAAGGCAAAGCATGAGAGAGACCTTGGGCAAGCCCTCGAAATGCCTTGGTTGAAAAGGAGATATGTGCAAAGCCATGGTGAAAGTTCGGTCTGCCTATTCTCTCTCTCTTTACCTCTATCAAAAGGAGGAATCAACTCCCGATAGAAGTACTTGCGTACGTTCTCTTTTAGTCCTCTACAACTGACAAGTTGTCTGACAAAGGAGGCTAGTCTAGAACTGGTTATCCTTTTGGGAAAAGAAGTCAAGACCCTAAAAGGATCCCAGGACTGTCCAATGTCACATAATTTCAGTTCTTCCTCTAACCGTGACACTATCTTTCTTGCAGGTTGCTAAAAACAGGGAACTTGAGCAAGATGGTTCTTGATTATGTACATAGAATTGCAACGACATTTTGAACACCAGAAGGACCTTGAGTCTAGTTGATGTACATAATTTTAGCTTGAAACCATTTGTAAATAGTCAGATATTAATGTATATGTGTTTGACAGTGTGTATATGCTGTGTAGCTATAACTTTCAGACAGCCCCTTTCTCTTCAACTCTATCTCATCTAAAATATATGCATGCATGTTTTTTTTTCGAAAATGTAAATACATGCACGCATATTTATAATGGCTATTTATATTTATAACTATAAATGTACATATACATCTTATCTCACTTGAGGTCGATTAATTTTATAGGTTTTGGCATGGTGATTGACATCCCATTGTCTGCAGTTCATCCATATACAAAAGTATTTTGGCAAAAACATATCTTGGGTACCATATGGAATTCATGTACTCCTGGGTCCAAGTTAATACATCTAAGTCTCCACATGGTACTTAAATGCTAATCAACAGCACATGAAAAATGGCTTTGAGGGGATCATTCGAAATGCAATTTAGTGTACCAAAGGGCTATGCAGGCATTTGAGAAAGCAACAATCTAAGAGACACATTGGCCCCCTTTGATTTATGGTAGGCTACTCTTTCGAATGTTATTTGTTTAATGAGTGAGGTAGACACTATTGGGGATGTTTGCAGAAATTTTAGCAGTTATATCATGTGAATTCTAATCAAGTGCCTGAAGTAGTATAGTGGAAAGGTTGGTGAATTTCGGTGTATATAGGAATGGCTTTGGGCTATGGGATTTTATGCTACTATAGGAGCCATTCTTCCTGTTTGGTTCTGTAATTTTTCTGTTTGCATATGAGTTTTATATAGCACAAAGCTTAGTATGAAGTTTCTACAATGACATTCCTGGTCAAGGCCTTGTTTGGATCATCTGTTTTGGAAAATAAAGTTCCCTTAGGGTGTTTCGTTAATCAAATGCTTTGGGTTGTGGGATTTTATGCTACTATAGGAACCATTCTTCCTGTTTGGTTCTTCTGTAATTTTTCTGTTTGCATATGAGTTTTATATAGCACAAAAATTAGTACGAAGTTTCTACAATGACATTCCTGGTCAAGGCCTTGTTTGGGTCATCTGTTTTGGAAAACAACAAAGTTCCTTAAGGATGTTTCGTTAATCAAATGCAAATGGCAATAGTATATGATTCTGTTTTCTTTATCCTTCTCGATTAGTTGTTTTCCAGAAGTAAAAAGGAAAACCTAATCAGGTGGACAAAGAAAACACAATCATATTCTTCTTCTGGAATAGCTTATCCGTCAGGCCTTACATGCCTGATACTCTATCCTGATTTTCACATCTAAAAGATAAGATTAACATAAGCAACTTGAGATTCAACAGATGTTGCCAGCTTTCATATAACCCTTTTGAGAATACAAAATTCCCCAATCATATTCACCGACTTATCAAAGACCAACTGTACTTTATCATTACATAAATTTATGTTCCTCACAGTTAAGACCTAACACCTATGTTAAGTGGTTGTGTCTTTCTTAATGGGCTGGAAGCCTTGGCATTCCTATCTTTCTCAATTCAATTGAATTTATTTATCAATTAAAAACCTTACACAACCAGAACTCTTCTTTTAGGACTAATGCACCAAGCATTGCTTCTCATTTGAGGTTCCTTTAAAATTAACACGTTCCACTAAGAAAATAGCCCATTACTTAGAAAACAACAGTAGAGCCTCAAAAAATTAAGCAACAACACTTCATATGAATGCAAGAAAAAGGACAAACAGATCAAACATTGCCTACACATTTGTCAATATCAGTGCATTGCAGCTACAATTGTTGAACTGCGAAACAAAAATCTTCAAAAACTTTATCATATTATTTTGTTTGCAAAAGCCTTGTACATATTAACACAATCAGCATAAAATTGATATGCTTCAAAGAAGTAATGAAATCATAATACTAACAACTAAAAAGAGATGATCACAATTGTCCCACCTCCTTCAGCATGGAAACAATAGAACTAAAATTGGTTCCCCGCTGTAGAGCTCGTGTCGCAGCAGCCTATAACAATATATAAGAACTGCAGCATTTCAGACGCATAAAAAGAAATGGTCAAAGGAAAGTATATTCTAATCCAATGGACCATGGATAACCATACTCCTTCGGGTCGTCATTTTCCAATACGGATGGAGAGAGATGGGGACCCAGGTGCCACATTGACAAACCTGAATGACTGGACCATCTGCTAGAGGGTCGGAGTAGGGTACTCCTAGTTCAATTACATCACAGCCACAGGAATCCAAAATTTTCAATGCTTTTCCCGTTGTTTCAAGATCAGGATCACCTGCTGTGATATAAGGTACTAAAGCCACCTGCATGTTCATGGTCAAAACAAGTACATTAGAATCATTGTGACCCCATAATATTGTGAATCCCTAAAGTACTTCACAAAACAAATACACAATGTTAGCACATAGAGAACAAAAAGGAGAGTTTCAGACAATCACCATATGTGAAACATTTTCCTTTAGGTTAAGCAAAAGCAACTTTGACTTGTTAAAGAAACACAATAAACACCATACTGAACCAAATGAAATCGAAGAAGCATGTTGACATGGGTTTTATATTGAAGGCCAATTTACTTTGTCAAAGGTTGGTCAAGGCCAGTCCAAACTAGGCCTACAAATCGATTGCTAACAGGATCACTCAAACCAAGCTTAGTTATAAGTTATCAAATGCTCGATCAAGCCCATAACTACAAAGCAAACATGGCTCAAAATTTTTTAAAAAATAAGCATTCAGAAATAACTGTTTAAAAACTCTAGGAATCTCCAACCGACTATTTTCAAAACTTGTTGGTTTTATCTTTCTATTTGTCTGAAACAATTTTCAGATGTCGTAAAGAGAAAACCATATCCATTACATTTCATACATTTCCAAACTCCAACAATCAGTATCCTCTGATGTTGACACCTAAAAACTAAAGGCTCCTGTGTCCCCTCATATGGCCTTTAATTGCACAAATTTGAAGCAAAAGAAATTTGAATCACGTGATTTATAATACCTTCCTCAACTTTTATGTTTCCTGAGGCACAAACTCTTGCCCTCAGAGACTTAATATAGGCTGCCAGACACCAACAGTTGAACCATGGAGCTTAAAATTCCACTGAACAAAACCAACTATAAAACATTTGACAACAAAATACACCCAAAAATACAAAGAAAAGAACAAATCAAAAGAAACCAGTGTGATTAATACAATTTCAGTATTGATAATATAATTTAGGCATCAATAAATATAAGAAAATGCATGTTATATATAATAAATTAATATGAAAAAGCATTAATAGGAATATGTCCCACGACTAGTAGCCAAACAAAACGACAGGAAATTTTTGACATAGTAGACACCACTCATTGTATACTTTTCCTTTTGTAAAATGATGGAGTTCCTCCTTACTATTTCCAAATATCAATTTTTATTTCGGTATATATTTTTCTTAATTAACTTTCAATGTGATACCATACATCTCTGCACTAAAACAATTCATTTAGGAAATGTGGTGGGAAAAAAAAAAACCAGAATCCAAACCAAAAACTGCATGTAAGTACGAGCAAAATCCAATTAGAGAGTTATTATGACAGGCTGATTTAATAATCAAAGTTTTTTTTAATGTGATAAAAAAAACCAGAAAAAAGACAGTTTTTAGAGAGAGAAGGTTAACTCAGCAAAGACAAAAAGTTTCCAGGGGCACAATTCTTCATATATTACGGTTGATTCTGTTTTCTAATCAAAATTTCAAAACCAAAGTGGGGAATCATCCAAAGATGAGAAAATCTGCATGAAAAAGGGAAATTTCAAATTAAAAACAGAGAAAATACAAAAAAAGGGGAAAAAGAAAAAAAACCCAATGCTTGGACAAATACCCAACCAATTGGCACACAAGAAAAAAACACACAAAACAATTTAAGAGAAAAAACAAAAAAAACCAACCTTTCCTTGTTTCTTCAGAGAGGAGAAGGTGCCTGATATGGTAAAGGTCACTTGTTCAGCTGTCAAGGAAGATGACATGGACACTCTAAGAGCAGGTAAGGAATGGGGACTTCGATGAAAATATCCAGAACGTTTAGGAGTTGAGAGGGAAACCCAAATGCTCTGTGCAATGAGCGCCATGGTGTGTTTTAGAACCAGGGTTTAAGCTCCTACTTAAAGTGGGAAAATTTACTGAACTACCCCTGATTGACAAATACGATGTTTAAAGCCCTAGCCCCCAATTACCATCCGAAGGGAAAGAATCTGCGTATATTACCAACTTAAGCCCCAATTTTTCAGTTCATATATGGCCTAGGCTTTAAGGGCAAAAGTAAAGCCGCAAGACTTTGATGGAAAATGCCGCAACAATGCCGGCAAAACCCTCACCTCAAATTGTTGAGTACGTTGGTATTATACATCTTAATAAATGTGGATTTTAAGTCGTATTTTGTAAAACTTAACTTGGATTGTTTATTTTCAAGTGTTTGGTTTATCTGGTAAAACGTTATTTTGATCATTATATCTTTGTCTTTTTTTGAGCTTATAATTTGACAATAGAAAATAATTTTGAAAAAATTATAAAAAACCCTAAAAATATATATTTTATACGACTTACCCCGACCTAACTTTTGTCACTTTTTTTTCCAAAATACACTTTCTATACAAATAACCCCAACCAAAAAATAAATAAAAAAATATCTAAACTACCATCCGTTGTTTTTACCGCTTCCCCTCTCTCTTCTATCTCCTCTATCTACAGCGTGCTCTGTACAGTACGGTTCGGCAGTAGAGCTTCAACACTTAGTAACGTGCGGTTCGGCAGTAGGGAAACTGTGTAAAGTGCATCCGGCAGACAGTAGGGCTCCAACACTTCGTAAAGTGCGGTTCGGCAGTAGGAACACTGTGTAAAGTGCATCTGACAGTTACAAAGGTGGTCCGACAGTAGATGTAACTGAATTTCAGGGCTCTGGCACTATGTAACAAGCGGTCGGACAGCACTCAGTTTTGGTCCGATAGTTGTCTTAGGGCGGTCCAACACTTATACGCTCCAGTTTGCTATTGTGTCCAAAAGTCAAGGTCAAATCTGGCAAAAATTATTTTTGTGTACGGGAAAGACATGTCTGTCTAAAAAATGATTTTTTTCCCTTAGGGGTATTTGCATAGAATGTTTGTTTTGGGAAAAAAGTGAAAAAAAAAATTAGATTGAAGATAAATTACATAAAAAATATGGTCGTGACGTTTTTTTTGTAATTTTCCCAATAATTTTTAAGTCACTTAAAGGGTTTCTAGGATTGGAACTACAGTTTACTGTAGAGCTTTGAAGTGAAGATTTACTTTTTAATGTGAAGCTTGGGCTTATGCTTAATCAAACACATTGCATATTTCATTCACTTTTGGGAGAGGTTTTGATAAAGTTGTAGCGTTATATACAAATACACCTCAAAATGTTGTGGGAAACTCAACCATTGGAGAACTCGTATCCGATGCTAAACAATTGCTTTATACAATTCAAATCGATCTCCCCTTATTAATCTGGAATTTGTGGAAAAGGGTGTCGATCGGTATTAGACAGGCTACCGAATAAATGAGGGGTTTGTCCATACAAAATTGGTCAAACTGTTAATTGAACTAGTTAAATAAGAATTTAAAGTAATAAAATAAAATATGAACAATAATTTAAAAATATTAATGTATTACAAAAAAGAGTTACCTATCTTTGTTTAGCAAACCTGATCGGTAAAAAATTGGATAGGTCAAATATTAGTTTTAACCAATTTTTTTCCACTAAACTTGATTTATACTTCAAACCGAAGTGGCCAAAGCATTGACATCAATTCTAACCAGCCGAGACTAAATTTGTAAAACTACTATGTAGATGGACTTAAACTTGAAAGGGAGAGTCCCAAGATGGGCTAATTTTGTTAAATACAACGACATTGGGGCCATTGTTGTATACAATACATCTGCGGCCCTAAAAAATACTTGCCCTTCTCTTTTGCTTCTTTATTTAGGATACTTTATTAACTGTTATTTCTCTCACTACTGTGTTTAATATTTTGGCTTACATAGTAACTCTAATGCCAGTGATCTTAACAATGGGGGGTACAATTCTCTACTTTGATGGTAAAAAAAATTAAAAACAATTACGCCTCCATACTTCAATACAAAAGATGAAAACCCCCAGCAAAACATCATGTCTATAATAGCTCTCACATCATGGGTACAATCCGACATGTGTACACCATACACTGCATCCATGTATGGCTGGGCCCAAAAAACAGTATGACCTAAGCCGGCACTATGGGGACAGGGGCTGGGCCTGGCTCAATCCCAAGCCCAAGGTCGTTGCACATTCATTTGTATGTATATTTACATCATATGCATACTTATGTGGCTATAGATGTAGTCTTAGGACATTATAGAATTTACAACAAAGGAAATAGTAACGAGAAAGAGACAGAAGGAAAGATCAACAAGGCATACATGTGGTTAGACAATGATGCTTATGTTCACATAAGGTAAATCGGTATCTCATTCATAAAATTACTTTAGTTTACCAAATATTTATGGAATTACAATGTCTTTTAAAAAATAAATTTTATTACAACAGTAACTGATAAAATAAGAAACTCAATATCTTGTAATCCAAAAGATAAAAACCTTAATATCTTGCTACTATAATAATCAACGCATGCATGATGTTAAAAACACATTAATGAGGACATTCATGGCATGCGCGTGCATGGGTACTCTCAATTGTTTTCGCTTTTACATGGAGCTCCTTTCTATTGAAGGTGATCTCTTTTGATTCTCATTTGATGATTTTCGTTATTGATGGTGATCTTTCCAGCTATCCTTTGCAACATATAGGATTCAAGTTTATCATTTCATTCGCATTTATAGGAATTATGGTTGCACACAATAAATGGCAATTACATTTATTGTTAGTTTCTACTTTTAGTGAGGCAATTTCCAACAAGAGTTTAGCTTACCATATTCTCTTGGGGAATTTTAAGTACATGTCCTATTGGTGGAATTAAAAAATAATTCAACATTTAATAATTTATTTGAGGTCTCTTTATTGTCAATTATTTTTACCCAAAATACCCCTAATCCGGTACTTGGAAATGTGGACAATATATTGCCGAACGAAAATTATTTTTCTTTTAAAATCTGTCCGGCACTTGATGTGATGGATAAACGTCTATATAATATCAAGGGAGTGCCAAACAAACATTAGATAGGTTTTTGATGAAAGTTGGTCCAATACTTGGATTGCTAGATGGCCTTCTCAAAGAATTTGTTGACTTTAATTACTATACCGACTCCAAAAAATTAAAAAGAAACTAAATAAAAAGGTTTATTGTTATGTGCAAAAGTTTTAAAATCTGATGGGTTGATTTTTGACATAGTAAAAAGAGGAAAAACACATCCGGCTACAAACAAAAAATATACAAAAAAAGCAATACATAAAAAACAATGCAAAAAGAATATCAAGATTTTATGTGATTTATCATAGATAAATTTACATCCACAAGGGAATACAACCAACGGCTTTTTGGTTTATCATAGATAAGTTTACATCTACAAGCGAATACAACCACCAGCTTTCTAGTAATCAATGATAGACAATTTACAAGATAGCTGATACCTAAAAAAACCAAACATACAAACTTAGTCTCTCTACACACTCTCTCTACACACTCTCTCTCTACACACTCTCTCTACAGAAGTCGATGATTTAGTACACACTCCTAGACACTTCCTCTCCCTCTGACTTACTATCTATAGAGAAAAAAAGAAAATCCAAAAGGATAATCACATGAAGTTATCCTTATCTTTTTATAAAAAGATAAATGTAATTCATCAGTATCCTATTTTTGATAAGTCAAAACAAGTAAGGTAATGATCTTACAGGTTAAAATGACTATAGGAAAGTATTCCCTAAATGAAAATGTTTGGATACGGCTGCAGTCCTATCAAAATAAGTAAAGCCTCACTTCAAAACTTACTGAAAATTACAATTTTGGTGTCGGAAAACTTCAAATTGATCTTCTCGATCTAGTTATAAAAAAAAAAAAATTCAAACCCTGAAAATAGTGTAAATTGCATAACATAATCTGGACCAGGGCTCTCAAACTCGGTCGGTTCAACTCAAACCCAGTAGGTTAGATTAGAATTGAGCACTGACTGGTTTCGATTCTGGTTGATTTTGGTGATCCGACCAGGCATTTTAAATTTTTTTAAAAAAAATTATATAAAATCCCAAACAATGAGAGATTTGGTTGTAATTTGTTTTTGAATTTTTGAATTTTTGAATTTTTTAATATATATATATATATTATCATTTTAGCAAAGATTGGAAAGTGTTTTGGCCATGAATACTTATTTTATATTTTCCCTTCTTTTTGATAAATTAAAAAAATACCCCTAGGCACAAAACGATTTTTAAAATTCATTTTTTTCATTAATTTTTAATTTCATTTGGATGTCATTTGTTTAATCATGCTTTAAATGTCTTTCTTATGTTTTGTTAGATTTATTTCGTATTTATTTTTTAAAATACTTTTTGACCGGCCGGGACTTACCTGATTAAGCAGATTGAACCGGTTGGTTTTCGAGGCCAGTTCGATTTTTCAAACATTGATCTAGACCATCAAGGTCGCCCTAAACATAAAAGTTCACCGATCCCAAGGATCTATACCATTTTTTGAACTTCAAATTTCAAAGTCAATGTTAGAATTGATTTTACAGCCATTATGTAGATTTTCGATGTCCAAAGTACTTTTTAGGCAAGGACTCGAGGTGAGGCTTTACTTAGTTTTTTATACAACCTCGGCCTTATAGAAATTGCATCCTTCCCCAAAACCTAGGACTCACTTCATACAATCACAAAACCTAAACCAACCCTTAAAAAATCCTTAAAAAATTTGAACAAACAAAGGTGACACCGAAGTGATAATTACGTGGGATTGAAGACATATCCCAACTTCTACATCCCCTATTAATTTTGACCGAGACCAAACTTTGTCATGATGCAAACCTTAGAAAAACAGAACCCAGTTCTTATGTAATACACGAGATTCAGACTAAGGGTTGGACCTACAAAAATCAAATTTAATACTTTGAGATTCTCTAAGAAAGCAAAAGATCTACATCTTTGACCTCTAATTGCATCATTGACCTTGATTTACTCACTAAGTAATTTACGTCTATCTCGGTACTCTCCGATGAATCTACATTTTATACCAATATATACCCATAAAATGAGTGTAGCATAGATGAGGGTGTTGAGATGGATGAGTGGCAAGACCAGAATGGATAGAATTCGAAATGAATCCATTCGAAAGAATTTAAGTATGGTACTAATAGGCAATAATACAAGAGAGAGTAGAACAAAAATGGATAGAATTCGAAATGAATCCATTCGGAATAATTTAGGTATGGCACTAATAAGCGATAATATGAGAGATAGTAGAACAAGAATGGATAGAATCCGAAATGAATATATTCGGAAGAATTTAGGTATGGTACTAATAGGTGATAACATGAGAGAGCGTAGACTTAGGTGGGCTGACCAGGTGTGGTGCCGACCAAATACAATACATGTAATGAAGTATGAGTTCGTTCAAGTAGAAGGACTGAAAAGGGCAAGTAGTAGGCCTGAAAAAATGTGGTTAAAAATAATCCGAAAAAATATAAGGACTTATGGCGTCACAGAGAGAGTATGACCTTTAATAGATTAAAATAATGAATTAATATTCATACAACCGATCCAAATTAATTGAAAAAAAACTATGAATGATGATGATCCGATGATTACACAAAATAAACCTCTATCACTTCATCCTTATGCCTCCCAATGCATAGAGCATAAAAATAACTACTTTTCACTTGTCTCAAGATCTGTCATTGACAAAAATACCATTTCCTTTATTTTTCATTCTCTAAATTGTGAGGTCCGGAAAACTGTGAATACGTTCCGAATATTCAAAAATCTAGATTCATGACCACGTGTCATTATTACATGCACTACAACGCATGTAAGGGACACTATCGAAAACCATTAACTAAGTGTTTGATGGCTATAAATATTAACAAGCAAAGCAAAAGAAAGGAAGAGGCCAACAGAAAAAGAAGAAGGGGACAACGGACGCATACAACTGCACATATGCTTGCAGAACTCTTATTGTTTACAATGAATATACCTTATAATGAATACTTATGTAATTAATTAAACAGAGGTTTTTTTGCTTTTCCTTTGTATGAAACAATAAATGTAATTAACAAGGTGTCCACTTATACCTTGAAACTGCTTGGCCCAAAACAAAATAAAACTTTTTACATGGATATACCATGTCAAAAAGATTGTTTGAAGTTTTCTTGAGTTGTTTTGTGCTTGTTTAGTATTCAGCTTAAATCATCTTTATATTTAAACAAATCTAGAAGCTCCTCCCTTCCCTCTATCTCGTTGATTTGGGTGATTTACATAAATTCCAATGAGATATTAACTATTTAATATTTAACATATATTGTTTGATTTTATTTCAAAATACGTATTGAAAGACACATGATCATGAGTTGGAATAGGTGCAAATAAGTAAAACGTTTTAAAGTGCATCTCTAATCAGTGTTTCGATATAGGGTTAGGGTTTGTCTACAAAGAGACCATTGATCTTTTGTTCAAGGTGATCACAATCATTCTTGTCTCTTGGATTTCAAAATGGATAGTATTAAGCGTGTCATTGATTAGATATAAAGTTTCCAATTCTGAAACTACGTGATTCACCCCAAGCCATCCAATTTGATATCTAATGAGTGGGAATAATTGTGACTTCATTGTACAAAAAGTAAATGATCTCTTTGCAGACAATCCTTTGATAAATATCTATATGGTCTCAAGGAAAATTTCTAGGTAACAAGTTTCAGTCAAATACAACTAAGACACTATCATGTCTTATACTAATTTTTTTTCTATGATATATCTAGAAATAAGTATATATTAGTTGCCTTATTAAAATTTTAAAGCAATAAGGTTCAATTCAATATAATGAATAAAATACCGGTTGTTCTCCTTAATAATAGAGATTAGTACACCCTCTACACTATAATAAATTACTAGAATATTTATCAAATGGTACGGTCTGTATAGAGCCGAGGCTCTAAACAATCAAATTAGAACCCACCTTCAAATAGTATCGAAAAATATAGTTTTAATACTAGAAAGTTTTGTGATAGACTTAAATTATATTTTTATCTTTAGTTGTAAATTTTAAAGCATAAAAAATAGTGTAAATCAAGCAGATCCATGAAAACTTTAAAATCTTGAAAATTGACGGTCGAAAAATGTACCGTAAGATGTACCATTTCTAAAACTTGAAATCCATTTTTTTTATCATGTCCATGCGTCTTGATGTCGAGATGATCAATTTGAGGATATTTGAGCATCAAAACAATATCTTCAAAGTTTTGAAGTAGGCCCTTAGTTGATTGTTTAGAGCCTAGGCTCTATATAAACTCCCCCTTTCATCAAAAGGATTGTCTACAAAGACACCATTTGTCTATTGTACAAGGAGGTCACAATTGCTTATAATCATTTATGTGAATTATTCTTTTGAACTTTGTACTTGGTCAATAGAATAAAAGCAACTACCCAATTTCACATCTAAAGGTTAAGATTAACTATGGCCACCTTGGACAAAAGGTAAGTGGTCTCATTATATACTTTTCCTTTAAAAAAATTTACATAGACGTTTCCCTTTCTTCCTTTATTATAGAATGCCCATTAATTCCATAATCTCAATTCTGAACTCTGATGAAGTTGGTTTTTGTTGAAAATATTGTTTGGTACTTAGATAATTGAATATATTCGTGTCTCTATGAAGTTCGGTACTAAGTACCTAACAATATAAAAAATAAAAAGTGAAAGTGTTCATTAATGTCATAAGAGAGAATAGTTCAGTGCCGAACATAACATATAAAAGAATAAATTTGCTTAGTACTTTTAGTGTCGAACTTAATTAAAAGTATAACATGTAAAAGAATAAATTTGTTTGGTACTTTTAGTGTCGAACTTAATTAAAGGTATGAATATGTTTAGTACCCGAACAATATTTTTTGCAAACATCTAAGTTCAATACAGTTCGGAGTTGAGGGTACTTAACTAATGGCTGGAAGGAAAAAAAAAAGACATCTATGTAAAATTTAAAATATTGGGGACATTTTTAAATATCTCTAAAAAGGGTTATGTACGTTAATTTCCCAATGAACAATGACAAGTGGTCCAACAATAAAGTTTATTTAGTATATTTTCAAAATCCATTTTATCTTTTTCAGCTTCATAATGATTGCGATTGAGATCATTGACCTACACAATTATAAGACCAAATCCATCACTGAGATGAATTTTTGAAAGAGACTGCATTCTTTTCTAATTTTTATTTTTCATTTTTTGAACTTTCATTAATATCAGTAATATCATTAGAGCACTACAAACAACTTTAGCAGTCAGGCAAGCATTATACATCAAACCTGTTTAACTACCAAAAATCGTAGGCTCAATTCCTAGTAAGGGTAGGGGGCCTCTCCCCATTGACTCGCTCAAAAAATTCCTCCCCCAAAAGAAAAAAAGAACATTTTTAGTGAAAAACAATTGCACAAGGACATGACTAAGGCAATGCAGTTCTTAAAGACATGGTAAAAGACTCAAGGTCCTTGAGCCCTTCCTCTGGAGACCTTGCATCCCCCAATAGCTTCACCAATGCACTGCCTACAATTGCCCCATCTGCCCCCCATGCCGCCACCTGCAATTAAATTCTACGCTTATGTTATCTTTCATATAGTTTATATACATATATACATACGCTTCCATGCATATCCACATACGAATGTGGATAAACAAACACATCCAGGAAAACCAACACAGATTAACACACTGTGTGCTGAATATTGTGTACCAAATGACAAGAAAGGATGGATGCTAAAAATATACCCCAAAGTTATAAGGTTAAATAGTAATTTATGTTTTACACAGTGCACTCTAATAAATTGGGTGCGGTTTGCATGGAGCGGAGACTCTAAATAATCAAAGTAAAGTGCACTTTCAAATATTATCGAAAAATATGGTTTCAATACTGGAAATCGTTGTAATAGCCTTTCATCTCTAATTATAAAATTTGAAGCTTAAAAAATAGTAAAGATCGAGCAGATGTATAAAAACTTGAAAATTTATGGTCCAAAAAAGTGTATTACAAGATGCATTATTTTCAAAGCTTAAAATCTATTTTTTTCTCATGTCCATGCATCTTGAGGTCGAGATGATCAATTTGAAGAATTTGGACATCAAAACAACATCTTCTAATGAAAATTTTGTGGTGCGCTCTAATTTGACTTTTCAAAGCCTCGGCTCCATATAAACTTTTTCCTAATAAATTTGGTTGAAGCATATATAATTTTCCCTTCGAATATCTTGATGAAGTTATCTCACTCCCCGCATATTAAGGTGCATGGTGAGAACTAGAATAGCCATCTAGCTTGTATACTTTGTTGTGCCCATAACCTCATCCTCTCCAAACATTTCCAAGGGGTAGCTTGGAAATGCACATTGCACACAAACAAATGCATATAACTATATTTCTAAAGGACAATACCAAGATTTCAGATGCTCAGTCTCGAGTGGTGAAATATTCAATACTTTAATGATGAGGACTAACCTGTTTTACATGCTCTGGTTTTGATAGACCAAATCCCACAGCCACAGGTTTGCTTGTAGCCTGGAAAGAGTAGAAACAATGATATCTAAGCTTATGAAGGAAGTTGGTATCCAATTCTCAATGTTTTCAGATCCCTTTGGAAACCAAAAAAAAAAAAAGGAAAAATAATTAAGCAAGAAAGCCAGCGCTTAAAACTCACCAAGTGACTTGGGACTTGCCCAAGTCTGGCTTGAGACCCTTGTGAGTCCTGTTGAAATACATGAGGACTTACACTAGGCCCTCTACTCTGTTATTTACTTATAGACTCAGTGGAGATTCGTCGAGTCTCAGCTAAGTCACACCCGCTGACTTGACCTCGAGACCCTAGGGAATCCCACCTAGGGTTTTTAAACACCAAAGAAAACTTATCAAAAAATTAAGGAAAAAGTTTATATAAGGTGACAACCTTATATGCACGAGTAAAATGCACCTAAAAAACCCACTAGAGAAGGTTATTCATATTCTAGAAAACCATCAACTCGATCATCTCGACTTTGAGATTCATAAACATTAAAAAAAAATAAGATTTCTAGTCCTAAAAAATAGTTTATTTTCTAAAACATTATCTAGACCGTCTATTTTCAAAAGTTTCAAGTGTTTGTAGATCTGCTTGATCGTAATCATTTTTTTAACTTTAAATTTTATAATTGGGGTCAACAATAAATTTTCATATCGCAAAGCTTTGAAGCACCAAAACTGCATTTTTGACATAGTTTTGAGGTAGACCTTACTTCAATAATATAAGGTTGAAGCCTTATACAAACCTCACCCATAAATTAAAGCACTTGAAAACAAATAAATGGATGTGTCCTTCAGGGACTATATACCTGCTTGACGTCACGCAGAAGAGCCTCAACACGTGCGTCCACATAGGGACGAGCACCAGTCACACCATTAGAGCTCACCTGCAAGGTGAAGTCAACAATTAGTCGTATATAAATATCCGTATCCATATAAAGTCAGCAAAAACACTTGTTTAAGGAATCTGGATGCAAAATCCGAATTTTGGATGAAAAATCCGAATTTTGGATTCAAAATTCGGAATTTCGGATCCAGATCCAAAATTCGGATCCGATTTACTATTCAGGTAGATCCAAGTACAAGTACATCTGATCCGCATCTAACCTGAAATTTAAATAATATATATATATATATATATATATATATATATATAACTTTTAAAACTAATCCCCACCGTTCTCCAAATCCAGAGAGAACTCGTAATTTTCCTCGCTTCTCTCTCTATTGAAATGAAAATTAGGGTTTCTCTTTGGTTCTCTTTGTGATGGTCGATCTGTAAACCCATATCTCTCTCTCATCTCTTTGGGTTTTTTTGTGAATGTCGATCTGTAAGCCCATCTGTCTCTCATCTCTCTATATTGAAACCAATCTCTCTCTCTTTCATCACTCTCATCTTTCTCCCTGCAACAAGCTACGACAAGCTATTATGCGCGTTTCTGGCTGTACGAGTGCGCTTCTGTCTCACCATTGAAATTCCACCAATCCAAACAGGTAAACCTATTCTTTCTAGTTTTATTTACCGTTATTAGTGTTTGTAGTGTTCTTGTGAGCAGAAAAAAAAAAAAAATCCACCAAAACCTAGTTTTCTCTCATCTCTTTGTTATTTTTATTTTTATTTTTTAAGCTATTCAAATCCCCCACATAATCCCTAAATTTATCTTAGAATTTCCTCAACGAAGGGCGATCTGGCAACGACCTTAGGGTTGTCTTCATAAAACACGTTTCATCCTGCGAGTCTTTTCCTTGTGTTGTTTCACTTGTAAGAGGAGTTGCACCATGAATGGAGACAACTTTCTCCCACTTAACCAATGTTTTCAGACTCGTCTTCTTCAATTTGATGAGAAAAATAAAGTTGTCAGATTCGTCTTTTTCGTCTTTTTCAGTTTGATGAGAAAAATAAAACAATTCCGTGCTTTCACGGATTCGGAGAAGACTTCAAAATTTTTTTTTTAATATAATATAAATAAATTAGATATTTATATGTAAAATATATAAAATTAACGATTTTTTTTTTTTTAAAAAGACTTTTATATACGTATTTCTTTTTTGACCCGAACCTGAATCTAACCGAAGCAGCAGCACCACGCTTTTCTTAGCTTCGATTTATGCTTAAAATTTGATAGCTTCGGCCGAAAAAAAGAAACGAATTTGATAACATTGCTCTTTTAACTCCCTCTCTATCGTTTCTCTCTAATTCTCGTCTCTCTTTTTAGAGTTTATCTCTCTAATCTCGTCTCTATGGCGCTCCATAAATAATTTCAGTTTGGATTTGGATCCAAACATTTCAGATTTGATATTATTTGGATCCGGATCTGGTGTGATACTATCCAGATCCGGATTCAGATCTGGGCGCATCCAAATCCAATCCGAAAAATTCTCAACCTACAAATAATCGAGAGAATAAAGCGATAGCTTAAGTTGAAATGTGCAATTTTAGCAATGGACTCAAAAGGATATAGGGAGATTCACCCCAAAAAAAAACGTGATTGTAATATCAGCAAACCTTGACAACTGAAAACAAAAGAAAGATACAATCTCCCTCCCTCCCTCCCTCCCTCTGTTATCAATTCCCCTCATTCTCAGTCCTTTCTCTCACCTTTTTTCTTTCCAAAATTTCTAAAATTTCCTTTTACAAATAACACATAAATTTATATAACTTGTACCCCAAGCCCCAATCCAACTGGGGCTCGTAAAGTCTAAGTCATACTTAAACAAAATATGGTGGAGATCCTTCTACACCCTCAGCAAAAACAGTTCACAGGATTATCATTTTCCCAATGTCATCTAGGTTCTTTTGGGCTTGAGTGTGAGTTTTAATAATGGCACATGTAGAAATGCGGACCCCTTAATAATTTATTTTTCAAATACATTTTGATCCTAATTTATAAGAAATATATAATCTTTAATATGGAGATTATTAATCCGCAAAATTAAATAAATTTTTAAAACTAGAAATGATATTTTTTTGGAAAAAAAAAATATTTGAACGGTTGTTTTTTACTTTTTCTTTGGAGCACTATTACTTACGGGACCCGATTGTGGTGGACAGGATAGACCTACAAGCCTGCATAGTAATAGGTGCGGGGTTTGGACGCACCAAACAATTTTCCGTTTTTCCTCCCCTTGGTAACGAATTTCATTGCTGTGTATAAGGCGTTCATGTATACATGTTTTGCAGAAATTAAAAAATACGTCAGAGAGTAATGAGAACAAAAAATGGGTTACATAAGGTTAACGATAGGAATTTGTCAGTTGGATACTAGATCCAACTATCCAAGGCAAACCATTTCTTATTATTTCTAATAAGCTCTTGGATTTCAACAGTTAACCTGTTTGTGCAAATGTAACCGCTATACAAGTGAATGATAGTAAACTTATAAAAAAAATTCATTAACAAAAAACTTAATGTTTTTTTTTAAAAAAAACTCTATCATCATAAAGGAAACACCCAAATCATCACAATCCTCAATGAGAATTCCTCGAAGAACAGCACTCTTGGCTGGTCGTCTTGGTAGTGGAGCCACAACATGACCACAAGAGTTCCAATCTTACCCCATTAACATATCAAAAAAAAAAAAAAGAAGTAGAATGGGATTGGTAAATGAAGGATCTAGTGAACAGAGACTCAGAATATTTGAACAATATAATCTTTCATCTTTTACAGCCAAAGAAGAAAAAGGAATAACAAAATTCAAGACTATCAAGAAAGAACTTACAAGGTATACAAACCCTTCTGAAGCCTCACAAATAGCTTTCATTCGACCTGTTGGAGTAGTGGGTGTTGTGAGCAGTACCTTCACCAGTGAAAAAAGGTGTATATGTATATATATATTAAGGACGTTATACGAACTTGTGGAGGGGAATTATTCTAATTTAATCAACCACAATAGCAACGCAATGTAGAGCTAGCGGGAATTTTACAAGAAGAATACTTGGTCCAATTCATTCTGAAGATAAAACCTCTACAACAGTTAATTATCTACCCATTCATTTTTAAGATAACTCCTCCAGCGCTTAATTATTCTGTCCTTCATTCTTAAGAAACTAATGTGAGTAGACTAGCATGGGCATTTATTTCCTGTATTTTACACATTGTACTTGTAGTGTATAAAACAGGAGCATTATTTATAAAAAAAAACATACAATAAGCAACACATTGAGCAAGACTGTATTGCACACTGGTCATTCCCACGTTCTGTATTCCTCTATCAAGGATACCCATGTAACTGTATATGGTTTCCAAGGTTTTTTACAGCCATATATTTATTAGAGAGCTTACATGAGAGGGCATCATTTGCAGTAAGGAATGCAGCTCATCTCTCTCAAACTTTGTGTGGATTTCCAAGTGTTCACCTCCTTTTTCTCTTGTTGATTGTTTCAGTGTCTAATTGCCTAATGGTTTATACGTACTCTAAAAGGAAAACCAAGCCCTTAAGATTATCTTCAAGTCCCTTAGTAGAATGGGTTCAGTGCACAACAATGATATACCAATCTTGAAAAGGAATTTCAATTTGGATGATCTTCTAATACCAGTGCAATGGAAAATAAATTTATGAATGACCATATCTATATTCCAACATTTACACTCATTGAGTTAATATTATCTGGTTATAATTGAGCATATGCCCTCTGATTGTATAATATGCAGTATTACCTCATATAATAAAACAAGATACTGATGAAAAAAAAAAAGGAACGGAAAGGCTGAGAAGGAAACAAAGAAAGGGACCCACCAGCTCAATTTCATGCTTAATACATTCTTTTCTCAATGTCTCAATTTCCTCTAGGGGAAGATCAGGCACCAAAAGTCCTGCAGACAATTAATTAAAGCAAGTTCAAACTATTTATATAGATCAGGATAAGCTCCACAACAGCAACAATTTTTGCTTAGAAACAATGAAGAAATCTTTAAAGGGAACTTCGTAATAATGCCCACAATGGAGCAATTGAATACTCAACAGAGCATTAAAGCAAATATATTCAATACATAAAATTCAACTAAGAACTTATTTGTTCTTGCTAATTTCAATAAACAAGAGCAACCCTAAACATATCCAGACCTTAAGCATATTCAAGGTGTAGATGAAGATTAATTATCATGGAACCACGGCTGGAAAGATAGGTTGAGACTCTTGGTAGCTAACTACAAAGATGGATTTCTTATTGACGGTCACAAGTAAAATCTCAACACTCAAAATTCTATGATATTCCTGACCACAGTAATCGATAAAATAACTTACTGAAATAATGATGATCCCACACAGCCACAAAAAACACATAACAAAAATCCTGTAGGATATATATCTTGAAGCAAGTAGATGATCAGTAGAGACCTCACGATTCACAAGAATATGCACAGAAAAACATGCACCCAGACCACGTACACATCCAGATGCATGTACATACCCGAGTTCAACATTTTAATAAGTCAAACAAAAAAGAAACAATAGAGCCATTTAAAACATTGGATTCAACAAATTGATATGTCCACCTTAAGAAAAAAGGAAGGAAGCATGCACAAGCCTCAAAGTCAGTAATGTAGCAGCAAATCTTACCATGAACCCCGGCATCCCTTATTGTGAGCACGAATTTCTCAATACCAAGTCTCAGTATTGGGTTGTAGTAGGAAAATAAAGCAATTGGACAAGATATACGTGGGACAACCTGCTAAACCAATCATTAGAATAACCATTATTATGCGAGTGTTGCAAGGATGAATCTCTTTTTGTAAAATACAAAATAAGAAGCATTAAATAATACAAGAAAAATTACACACACAAGCTATCAAAAAATTTACTCCATTTGTAAATAACATGACGGATACAACTCATGCAGTTACTTTTGTTTGCGATATATGTAGCTAAATAGGCTTTCTGCTCTTTTTGAACAAAACAAGTTTGTAATGCCTTTAAAGGTAGTAAACGTTCATTCTAGATCGGCAAAAAAGTATAGGACACAAATAGACATCAAACTTGTCCAGACTGGGATGAAGATTCTGGTATGTCGCCGATAATAACATTAGCCAATGGAAAAATCTAAATATCCCTTCAGTTTCCAGTCTAAATCCTCAGTTAAACGAACAGAAAATTACATCCAAGGAAGGGACCAGCCCTCCACGTGGCTTTGATTGGGAATGCACCATATTTGAAATTTCAAAAGCTGAACAGGATTCTGGGCATTGCCTTGGCACATGCTTATCGTGTACGGCACATGGAAACACATTGAGCGGGTCCCACTTGTACTGCTAATCCGTGTCTTGGAATCTGGAAACTGCATTAGTGAGTACAAGGAGGCATCCACTAGGGATATCTATAATATGCTCCACATGGAAACCTTGCTGATTAATCAAGTGGTTCAAAGAGATAACAAGCCCTTACAAGACAGATGGTCCATTGGCATGCCGCTTGAGTCCAATGGTTGGAATGTCCAGTCACTTTTGGTCCCAGCGGGGGATTCATGGTGAACTCCATAGAATAGTCAGGGCTCTGCAAGACAGGACATACCTGAATCAGGGCTCATGCATACCCATTGACTCCATAAATCTGATATCCAACCAATCGTGGAAGGTTGAACATTGTGTTCTTAATGACTTTCCTCCGTTTGGGAAAGGACCCATGGTCCTAATGTCTTTGAACATCGTAAAGGCAGTCACTTATAGCCAAGGTGAGGATGATCTTTTTTACCTTAGTTGTAAGGCAAAGCATGGGAGAGACCTTGGGCAAGCCCTCGAAATTCCTTGGTTGAAAAGGAGATATGTGCAAAGCCATGGTGAAAGTTCGGTCTGCCTATTCTCTTTCTCTTTCCCTCTATCAAAAGGAGGGATCAACTCCCGATAGAAGTACTTGCGTATGCTCTTCTTTACTCCTCTACAACTGACAAGTTGTCTGACAAAGGAGGCTAGTCTAGAACTGGTTATCCTTTTGGGAAAAGAAGTCAAGACCCTAAAAGGATCCCAGGACTGTCCAACGTCACATAATTTCAGTTCTTCCTCTAACCGTGACACTATCTTTCTTGCAGGTTGCTAAAAACAGGGAACTTGAGCAAGATGGTTCTTGATTATGTACATAGAATTGCAACGATATTTTGAACACCAGAAGGACCTTGAGTCTAGTTGATGTACAGAATTTTAGCTTGAAACCATTTGTAAATAGTCAGATATGTTTGACACTTTGTATATGCTGTGTAGCTATAACTTTCAGACGGCCCCATTCTCTTCAACTCTATCTCATCTAAAATATATGCATGCATTTTTATTTATTTTTAATGTAAATACATGCATGCATATTTATAATGGCTATTTATATTTATGCATATAAATGTACATATACATCTTATCTCACTTGAGGTATATAGAATTTTATATGCTTTGGCATGGTGATTGACATCCCATTGTCTGCAGTTCTTCCATATACAAAAGTATTTTGGCAAAAACATATCTTGGGTACCATATGGAATTCATATACTCCTGGGGTCCAAGTTATTACATCTAAGTCTCCACATGGTACTTAAATCTAATCAACAACACATGAAAAATGGCTTGAGGGCATCATTCAAAATTCAATTTAGTGTACCGAAGGGTTATGCAGGCATTTGAAACAGCAGCAATTTAAGAGACACTTTGGCCCCCTTTGATTTATGGTAGACTACTCTTTCGAACGTTATTTGTTTAATGAGTGAGGTAGACACTATTGGAGATGTTGGCAGAAATTTTGGCAGTTATATCATGTGAATTCTAATCAATTCTAATCAAGTGCCTGAACCAGTATGGTGGATAGGTTGGTGAATTTCGGTGTGTATAGGAATGGCTTTGGGCTGTGGGATTTTATGCTACTATAGGATCCATTCTTCCAGTTTGGTTCTGTAATTTTTCTGTTTGCATATGAGTTTTATATAGCACAAAGCTTAGTATGAAGTTTCTACAATGACATTCCTGGTCAAGGCCTTGTTTGGATCATCTGTTTTGGAAAATAAAGTTCCCTTAGGGTGTTTCGTTAATCAAATGCTTTGGGTTGTGGGATTTTATGCTACTATAGGAACCATTCTTCCTGTTTAGTTCTTTTGTAATTTTTCTGTTTTCATATGAGTTTTATATAGCACAAAAATTAGTACGAAGTTTCTACAATGACATTCCTGGTCAAGGCCTTGTTTGGGTCATCTGTTTTGGAAAACAACAAAGTTCCTTAAGGATGTTTCGTTAATCAAATGCAAATGGCAATAGTATATGATTCTGTTTTCTTTATCCTTCTCGATTAGTTGTTTTCCAGAAGTAAAAAGGAAAACCTAATCAGGTGGACAAAGAAAACACAATCATATTCTTCTTCTAGAATAGCTTATCCGTCAGGCCTTACATGCCTGATACTCTATCCTGATTTTCACATCTAAAAGATAAGATTAACATAAGCAACTTGAGATTCAACAGATGTTGCCAGCTTTCATATAACCCTTTTGAGAATACAAAATTCCCCAATCATATTCACCAACTTATCAAAGACCAACTGTACATTATCATTACATAAATTTATGTTCCTCACAGTTAAGACCTAACACCTATGTTAAGTGGTTGTGTCTTTCTTAATGGGATGGAAGCCTTGGCATTCCTATCTTTCTCAATTCAATTGAATTTATTTATCAATTAAAAACCTTACACACCCAGAACTCTTCTTTTAGGACTAATGCACCAAGCATTGCTTCTCATTTTAGGTTCCTTTAAAATTAACACGTTCCACTAAGAAAATAGCCCATTACTTAGAAAACATCAGTAGAGCCTCAAAAAATTAAGCAACAACACTTCATATGAATGCAATAAAAAGGACAAACAGATCAAACATTGCCTACATATTTGTCAATATCAATGGATTGCAGCTACAATTGTTGAACTGCGAAATAAAAATCTTCAAAAACTTTATCATATTATTTTGTTTGCAAAAGCCTTGCACATATTAACACAATCAGCATAAAATTGATATGCTTCAAAGAAGTAATGAAATCATAATACTAACAAGGAAAAAGAGATGATCACAATTGTCCCACCTCCTTCAGCATGGAAACAATAGAATTAAAATTGGTTCCCCGCTGTAGAGCTCGTTTCGCAGCAGCCTATAACAATACATAAGAACTGCAGCATTTCAGACGCATAAAAAGAAATGGTCAAAAGAAAGTATATTCTAATCCAATGGACCATGGATAACCATACTCCTTCGGGTCGTCATTTTCCAATACGGATTGAGAGAGATGGGGACCCAGGTGCCACATTGACAAACCTGAATGACTGGACCATCTGCTAGAGGGTCGGAGTAGGGTACTCCTAGTTCAATTACATCACAGCCACAAGAATCCAAAATTTTCAATGCTTTTCCCGTTGTTTCAAGATCAGGATCACCTGCAGTGATATAAGGTACTAAAGCCACCTGCATGTTCATGGTCAAAACAAGTACATTAGAATCATTGTGACCCCATAATATTGTGAATCCCCAAAGTACTTCACAAAACAAATACACAATGTTAGCACATAGAGAACAAAAAGGAGAGTTTCAGACAATCACCATATGTGAAACATTTTCCTTTAGGTTAAGCAAAAGCAACTTTGACTTGTTAAAGAAACACAACAAACACCATACTGAACCAAATGAAATCGAAGAAGCATGTTAACATGGGCTTTATATTGAAGGCCAATTTACTTTGTCAAAGGCTGGTCAAGGCCAGTCCAAACTAGGCCTACAAATCGATTGCTAACAGGATCGCTCAAACCAAGCTTAGTTATAAGTTATCAAATGCTCGATCAAGCCCATAACTACAAAGCAAACATGGCTCAAAATTGTTAAAAAAATAAGCATTCAGAAATAACTGTTTAAAAACTCTAGGAATCTCCAACCGACTATTTTCAAAACTTGTTGGTTTTATCTTTCTATTTGTCTGACACAATTTTCAGAGGTCGTAAAGAGAAAACCATATCCATTAAATTTCATACATTTCCAAACTCCAACAATCAGTATCCTCTGATTGTTGACACCTAAAAACTAGAGGCTCCTGCGTCCCCTCATATGGCCTTTAAATGCATAAATTTGAATCACGTGATTTATAATGCCTTCGTCAACTTTTATGTTTATTGAGGCACAACTCTTGCCCTCAGAGACTTAATATAGGCTGCCAGACACCAACAGTTGAACCATGTAGCTTAAAATTCCACTGAACTAAACCAACTATAAAGCATTTGGTAAGAAAATACGCATTTGACAAGAAAATACACCTAAATATACAAAGAAAAGAACAGATAAAAAGAAAGCAGTGTGATTAATACTTTCAGTATTGATAATATAATTTTGGCATCAATAAATATAAGAACATGTAATAAAAAAAATGCATGTTATATATATTAAATTAATATGAAAAAGCGTTAATAGTAACGAGTCCCACGACTGCTAGCCAAACAAAACACTAGGCAAATTTTTGATATAGTAGACACCACTCATTGTATACTTTTCCTTATGTAAAATGATGGAGTTCCTCCTTTAACATTTCCAAATATCAATTTTTATTTCGGTATATATTTTTCCGAATTGATACCATACATCTCTGCACAAACACAATTCATTTAGGAAATGAGGTGGGGAAAAAAAACCAGAATCCAAACCCAAAACTGCATATAAATACGAGCAAAACCGAATTAGAGAGTTATTATGACAGGCTGGTTTAATAATCAAAGTTTTTTTTTTAATGTGATAAAAAGAAAAAACCAGAAAAAAGACAGTTTTTAGAGAGAGAAGCTTAACTCAGCAAAGAGAAAAGTTTCTAGGGGCACAACTCTTCATATATTACGGTGGATTCTGTTTTCTAATCAAAAGTTCAAAACCAAAGTGGGGAATCATCAAAAGATGAGAAAATCTGCATGAAAGAGGGAAATTTCAAATTAAAAACAGAGAAAATATGAGAAAAGGGGAACAAGAAAAAAAGCCAATGCTTGGACCAATACCCAACCAATTGGCACACAAGGGAGTGAGAAAAAAGTGAAAAAAAAAACACAAAAACAATTAAAGAACACAAGAAAAAAAACCAACCTTTCCTTGTCTCTTGAGAGAGGAGAAGGTGTCTGATATGGTAGAGGCCACTGGTTCAGCTTTCAAGGATGAAGCCATGGACACTCTGAGAGAAGGGAATGAATGGGGACTTAGATGGAAATAGGGAGAACGTTTGGGAGTTGACGGGGAAACCCAAATGCTCTGTGCAATGAGCGCCATTGTGCGATTTTACAACCAGGGCTTAAGCCCGTATTTAAAGCGGGAAAAATTACTGAACTACCCAGACATGGTTCAAAAAACCATCCGAAGGACAAGAATCTGCGGATATTTACTAACTAAACCGCCAATTTTCCATCTTTTTTATATGGAAATGGTTCATATATGGCCTAGGTTTTACGGGGAAAAGTAAAGCCGCAAGCCCCTATCAGAAAATGCGGCAACAGTGCTGGAAAAACCACACCTCAAATTGTTGAAAAATGTAGTTTTGGTGTCTGATAACCCTTATTGACCATGTCACGTTATAGATCTTAGTAAAGGTATATTTTTTTAGAAATCTACTTTTGGGGCTATTTTTAGAACTTGAAATTTATACAAGAGTTATTGAGTTAAATTTGTTTGTATTATTATTATTATTATTATTAGTATTATTATTATTATTATTATTATTATTATTATTATTATTATTATTATTATTATTATTGTATAAGAATTTAAAACTTTGGGGTTTTTGAGAACTACAAATTTGGGGGGTTTTTTTTAGAACTCAAAATTTTTACAAGAGGTTGTATTGAGTTGATTACTGTTTTTTAGTGATTGTGAGGAAATTCACAAAACTGTGATTGAATGTTTTTTTTTTTAATGCTATGTTTTATGAACTCGAAATTTGATGTGTTGCTTTGTTTTGAATGCTGGGCAGATTTTACATTATATTGTATTGTGTGTTAACTTTTGATACTCTTAGATAGTTTTAAGTACAGATTTGTGATATATTTAGTGATATCTTAGAAAAGGGTTGATTTATCTTGTTGATAGATTGACTAGCTTAAAAATGAAAATTCGTATGTGATTTATGATTTGAGTACAAACATACCTTGAACATTTTTGCAAATGCTTGTGGTTTAGGAGTACATAGGAAATAAATAACTTTATGCATACAGGCTTCACTATTTTGGATAGAATAATTCGTGACTATTTTTTTGAGAGCTCATTCGATATGTAAATTTGTGATAATCTATTTGTTTCATTGATTCTATATGCAAATGCGTTATGAGTTATTGGTGTCTCGATATTCATTCTTTTATATTATCATGTTCTTTTCATATAGTGGTACTTGTATTAGAACCTATAAGTTGAGTTGAAGAGCTCTATAACACTAGCTTATAGTCTAAAATTGACCATCTTTTTTGTTTAATAATAGCATGTCATTATAGTTTATTTGTTATTCAGTTAAGTTTTGCATATATAACCTTGTGATTAACATGGAGCCCATATGGAGTTTCAGTGAATACGAATCGTGTCTATCCAGATGGGGGATACCCAGGAGATCCTCAAGACCCTAGTTTGCTGCAGCTTCATCCAAAACATTCATCCTATTTCATACAGGAATGACAAGTATATGCATATATTCGTCTGGTATTTCCATTAGTTTGTTATTTTTCAATAAAGTGTAGTTTGTTTAAACATCATATGGGAAGTGCATGTATATATATTGTGACTCGTATGTTACCTATTTGTTGTATTCCAGTAAAAACAATAAATTAGAATCGATGAAAAGACTTTCAATTAAGCGATTGGCATCTAACCGATGAGCAAGTTCAATTAGTAAACACATATGGATTGGGTGCTCTATCTATTATCCGGTCAGGTCGAATTGATCATCCTTTAGTCGCAACCAGTATAGAGAGGTGATGTTCTGAGACCCATTCATTTCATTACAACATTCAAATTTGTGAGATAACACCCATATTATTTGATATTTACAAGATATTGGGACTGGCTGTGGATGATGACCCTGTTACATGTCGTCCTATTAGTGACCTCCGAAAGTTCATAGAAAACAATTTGGGTATAGTCCCCACTAGAGGCTACTTGACACTCATCAAGCACTCACGGTTGAAGGTCAACTTTTACACATTGCCACCTAAAATTGTTAGATATACTCGAGTGTGTCTGCTCTTTCTCATCAGCATCACCATTTTTGCAGATTCATTGGTTGCAACAGTGCCAATGAGGTATTTACAATTCTTTAAAGATATTGAGGAAGCCATCATATATACATAGGGTGTTGCAGCCCTCGCATATCTTTATTGTTCCCTTGAAAAAACTTATACTTCCAAGCGAAGATATTTTAGTGGTTCAGCCACTCTTATGTAGGTAAATTATATTTTTGTATCTGATATAAGCATAATAGTTTAGACTATATTTTTGTATCTGATATAAGCATAATAGTTTAGACTACTTTCCAAAAAAATTTATTACTTATCATATCGTGATATATTGCAGTGCTAGTCTTATGAGCATATTATGCATATGAGGCCCATACCGCATAGTATCTCTCCAAATATGCCTAGGGCAAAAAGATGGGAGCCACAAAAGAATTATTATGGCAAACCTCCAACTTTATAAGGTTATTGTGTACTTTGATATTACAATATTTATTATTGATTAATTTTAATTGTATTTAAATATTTGTAGTTGTTTATTAATTGATTGTTGTATGTTTGATTTCATATCATATAAAAAGTAATATGGAATCCCTATTTCAACCTTGTTGAGGCAATTTTAGATGATAGGCAGCAGGCTTTCGAAACCGCAATGTACTTAACGACCCTGATATTTGATGATATTGCCGAGTCGTACATGCCAGATCATGTGTGTCGGTAGTTTGGAGCTAAACAGAGCATTCAAAGAAATCTCATATATGTTGGTAAGAGGTCTAGTATACAAGGTGGACAGAGAGATTAGAGAAATGTAAATTCTTACAAAATCCATCATTGGTTGACTCAACATGAATGCAGGATGCCAGGCATTTAAGTGGATAATGTCAATGGGTTGCCCCCATGTGAGTATAAAGTTTGGTACAGCCGAATGTCCCATCTTATAATCCATAATGTCGCTAACTCACCAAAAGACATATTGCAACCTGTTAACCAGGAAGAAGAAGAGGTGGTACTTGCACATGAATCACAGTATATAATGAGACCTCGAGGTTTTAAGGATCAGTTGGTATGTTTATATTGACCTATTAGTTCCATGAAATTGTTTATTATAATTATCTATCTTGTTTTTGCAGGTTAGTGCCGTTCATGCTAGTACAATCATGTTAGCAAAGGCATACTTAGACAGAAGTGGTATCATAAAGTTTATAATCTCATTAACAACGCGTTTGAAATGTTGTCTAAGTGTATGCTTATGGACATGGTTGATATAGAAGCCATAATGGAAAATTTACTATGAAGCTGCACATGACGAGCTTAAACAAGATGTAGTGGGTGAAAGTAGTCAGGCTGCAAAAGACTTGACTCTATCTACACATCCTGCGATTGAAGAGCCCAAAAGGCATAATACACGAAAGAATTAGTATCAACCCAAGAGAAGGCGACCAATGTAATGGTCTTTTTGGCAATGTAATGATCTTTTTGGCCGTTGTAATGTTATCATATTGTAATTAACTCATGAGCAATGTAATATTCTTTTTGGCAATATTTGAATATTTTGAGTTTGTGTACATACATTTTAGTTTCTTATTTGTTTAATTAGGCTTAGATGATTATGATGATGATGTACTTTTGAAAGGCTAATGTAATGGCTTAGATGATAATGATGATGATAGACAAATATATAGTTTATGGTTTATAGTGTTGTTTATTTATCAATGTAGAAACATTTGATCTATCCGAAAGTTTTCGTTGTTTTATTTTTGTAGTTGGGTAAGATTAATGTTTTCATTGAACTATTTTTGCTTTTGTTATTAAGATTCACTGAAGTGAATAGTCACTTAGATGTTGAACAACAAAAAATATGAATGCAAATTCCAAGCTTTTGTGCTATTTTCGGTTGTTCAACAACATAAAATAAGGCATTTTCGGATGTTGAACAATATATTCGGTTGTTGAACAACTAAAAATAGAAAACTTTCAGTTGTTCAACATCCGAATATATAACATTTTCAGTTGTTGAACAACCAAACATAAGAATGCAAATTCCAAGCTTCGGTCCAATTTTATGTTGTTCAACAACCGAAAACAAGCATTTTTGAATATTGAACAATCGAAAATTTGACAGCATATTTTCGGTGAAGAACCGAAAATAACACTGCATATTTCAGCAAGCTTCTGGAATAAAATAAGGTATTTTCTGTCGTTGAACAACCGAAAATAGGGTATTTTCGGTCGTTGAACAAGCGAAAATAATAATGTTATAGTTTTTTAACACCACTATAAAATGGGTTAAAAAATTCGTATTTTTCGGAGTTTGTTACACTTTCTATTATGTAGAATGAGACCATTGACCTTTAGTACTTGGAAGGGCATGTCATCCACAATTAGCACCAAAGTATGATCTCCACCTATTTTAACAAATATATCACATTTTCTATTACGTATAATGCATGTAATGATGCGTACATAACACCAAGTACATGACCACAATATTGACAATACGAAATTCAAGATCTTCATTAATTCATCAAAATGATAATTCGATACAAAATACCAAAGTATAATGCAATATAACGCATATAATGATGCTTACATAACATCTAAACCACACTATGAAATTATGATTCACTCCCTAATAGCCTATCGGTTCTCTACAAGTCCTTCTATTATGACCCACTGCACCGCATTGCTTGCACTTTAAAGGCCTGATGGTGGACTGTTCAGTCTCAGATATTTTTCGCTGTTTTTTTAGCCTACTGGAAGGCGTGTCGTCCTTGGTGGCAACACAGTCTGATTGAACATACCAATGAACTCAATATCATCCGGGACATGCCCAAATGGAGTTTGAAAGGCCCTTTTAAAGTATTCCACTTTGAAATACTGAAGGCAGTACGCAGTGGGATCCAAGTGCATATGGTTAATAGCCGCAATTACATGACTACACGGTATGCCATAGAGTTGTCATTTTACACAATTACACGACCAATGAATTAAATCGACAACGTACTTCTTCCCAAGATAGTAGATCTTAAATTGTGTATCCATGGCGGATATAACTGTGTGTAAAAATCATGTCTTCATCTTTCAAAAGTAGAGTAATTCTTGGGCTTTCGGTACTAGCATGCCGCTCCAACTATTACATAACTTCATATTCTCTTCAAACCTAGTCATCA